GGGCCGGGGCCGGGGGCCCACCGGACAGAGTCGAGGCTGCTCAGGCAGGCGGAGCCGGAAGGAGCCTCCGCTCCCGGCTGCCTGGCTATGCCGGGGTCGGTGCCCAGCCTGCCCCTCCACCCTCAGCCCCCACCCTACCCCACACATTCTCCCCGCGTGCCCCTTGCGTACCCCCGCACACAGCTTACATTTATTGAGTTCTTGAGAGGGACAGACGAGCTGCTAAGCCCTTTATGCTTGTTGATTTTGGGCGGTTACAGCGTTACAGCTGCAATGGCCTGGTGTGCTCAGGGTCCCCCCCGGCAGGAACTTGCCCGAGCTCCCCCGGAGGGAACTGGGGCCTCCACAGAGCCCTAGGCCTCGCTGGCCAAAGCCTAGGTGCTCAGAGCAAAGGCGGGGCCAGTGACTCCTTGCCTGCGCCACGTGCCAGGCCTTCTCCGCGAGAGGCGTGTGGTCGGGCCGGAGGTGGTGTAGGGGGGAGCAACCAGGTTGAGACTGGGGGGTCAGGCAAGGGGCCTAGGGTGTAGCAACTCTGCCTGGCTTGGAGGGGCTGTCCCTGGACCCGGGGACAGACTGTGAGCAGGCAGAAAAGCCTTTGCCCAGTCTGAGCTGCCCAGGGCAGGGTCGGGGCATCTCAGGGGGCTGGGTACGGGGGCAGTCCTGGGGACCTGAGCTGACTGGTGTTGTCGTCTGGACCTCTGTACAGTCACCGAGTGGCTAGTGGGTGAGCACCGGGCCCGCGCTACCGTCCTCTCCCACTGCTATTTCACCGCCGGGACCCTGTTACTGTCGGGGCTTGCCTACAGCCTCCCCCACTGGCGGCTGCTGTTTCTGGTGGGCGGGGCTCCTGTGTTCGCAGTCATCCCCTACATCTGGTGAGCAAGGGAGTGCGGGCTGTGCACAGGGATGGGTCTGACGGGCTGGAGATCGGGGGTGTGGAGGGTTCCCGAAGCTGTGGGAGTGGGTGAGGTTCCCCCTGGGAGAGAGTGCATGTGGATGAGATGAGAAGGAGCCAAGGGAGGAGCCCCCGAAACTCCAAATGAACCCTCCTCAGAGGTGTCGGTGGTGTGGTCAGTCAGCAGGAGGAGCGTGGAAGGTGAGGTTCGAGGAGAAGCAGATGGTCAGGGTCGAAGGCAAGAAAGTGAGGCTGGGGAAGGGTCTTTTGGCCTTGGTGACCTTCTTAAGTGGCTTCAGTGGAGTGGTGAGGGGTGACTAGGAGCTGAGGAAGGGGTGCCATGTGGGAGATGCCTCTTTCACGGTGTTGGGCTGAGGTGGGCAGGGGAAAAGTGGTGACTGGTATGGGAGTTGATGTTTTTAGTTGGAGAGGAGTCACAGACAGGAACGTGAAGGATTGAAGCTGCAAAGGGACAACCCATGGAGCAAAGCTTGGAGGCGTTAGAGGAGGGGATGGGAACAAGAGTGGGATGGTGGGAAGGGGAGAGGAACAGGAGAGAAGGCCGAGAGGGAGGCCACTCATTTGTTAAGGGCTAGGCAGTTCTGCAGGAAGAAATTATCATATTGAATCTTGAAATTATATTTTATCATATTGAACCTTGAAATTATATTTCATCTTTACAACCTTAAAAAATGGGCCTTGCAAGTCCCATGTTACGGGGTAGGGGATGGCGGGGGGAGAACTGAGGCTTCAGAGAGTCTAAGTAACTCTGTTGTTACCCAAGGTCACACAACTAGAAAGTGGTGGAGCTGGGATTTGAACCCAGGCTGTCTGGCTCAGAGCCCCTGCACTCTAACCACTGCACCATACACAGCATGGATTATGGGAGGTGGGGTTACCAGCCAAGAGTAAGGACATGTAGTGGCTTGGAAAACCAAAAACCCGTTGCTGTAAAGTCAATTCCGACTCACAGTCAGAGGACTGTTAGCGAAAGACTCATAGGATTTAGCAACCCTCTAGGACAGAGTAGAACTGCCCATAGGACTTCCGAGGAGCAGATGGTGGATTTGAACTGCCGACATTCTGGTTAGCAGCTGAGCTCTTAACCACGGCACCGCCAGGGCTCCAGGTGGCTTGGAGACCTTCCAAGCTATGCAGAAGCTGGAGACCAGCCTTGATAGTCCTTAAGATACCCAAGTGAGTGTGGGGACCCATCCTGCCAGATGACATGACTTTGTCTTGTAGCTGGGAAATATTTTTCCTGAAAATATTTTTTAACGTTATTAATGTAATAGATGCATATGGTTAAACATTAAATAGTACCAAAAGGTTTGTGATGAAAATAAGTCTCTCCTACAACCCCAGCCCCCAGTTCCTTTCCCAGAAGCCGTCACACTGAACTCTTTCAACTCTCTCTGTTGGTAGGTGTCTCCGTGGTTCTGTGTAATATGAATAGACAGTTATCGATGGGCTGAGCTCGTTGGGGTACATTTTTCTTCAGCCACTGCCTTCAGACATGTCCTGTTGGCTGTCCCTTCCCCACCACTTGACAATATCTTGAGCAGGTTCCATCTCTTTCCAGTCATTTTTAGTTGTAAGAATAAGTCTTGGTTTTGGTAATTAAGACTTGTTTTCAGGCATTAAAAAATTCAGACCAGCCCCATTTAAACTTCAGTCTTATGCCCAATTTACGGCTTTTCCTGACCCCTACGTAGCCCAGGCCCGACCTTGGCGTGCAGTGGCCAAGAGAATGAGGCCTGCTTCAGTGCTGTTGCCGGCAGAGGATGGGGGCGTGGGAGAAGAAAGGCAAAAGCCTTGTACTGCAGGGGAGGTTACAGCCTGCTCGTCAGCGCCCTCTGTGGGCGGACGTTCAAACGCCGGTTCCCTCAGCGCGCCTGCCGGGCTTCGGAGTCTATAGTCTCCTGAGGCCCAGGGGCTCTCTGGCCAACCTCTTTGTGACCTCCCCTAGCCCCTGTCCTTGGCAGCTCACCCCACATGTGCAGGGTCTTCTCACCCTAGCACATGGGTGCCTTCAATACAGCAAGGTCCACTTGGCCAACAAAACTCAACATCCAGATGCAGTATGCTCACCGCCCCCCAGCCCCCATCCTGCCATCCTGGGCTGCTCCCACCAACCTCCTGCCTTCATCAGGCCTCAGTGAGAGAGGGCCCCGGTCTCTGGGCCTGTGTAGGCCCTCGAAGTTCAGGAGACCTCTTCCATAAACTCTGGAGTATCAGGCCCTCATGTTCCTGAGTCAGCAAGCTCCAGCCAACGAACAGGGACCAGACTCCATTTCTCGAAGGCAGCCCCCAATCTATCTAAGGAGTGTGCTTGGGGTCGCCACATCTGGCTTGAGCCAGGGAGGAAGGAAGGAGATCCAAGACCCTCCCACTTCCATGAATTGAATCTTTCCAGCCTAAATAGGTGGCTGAGGGAGGTGGCCCCTGGGCTGTTTTGCTGTTTTGTTGTTATTTATTTATTTTACTAATCCTCCTCTGAATGTGGTAAGGCCTCTCTTTAGAAGGTGTGGTTATCACTCATAGTTACCAGCTTTGGGACTTCAGCTGAAATTCCAGGACATTAAAAACAAAACAAACAAACGAAAGAAATCCCACTTAACATTCTGTTACCCTGCTATTCCTTATTCTCTGATTTTATTTTTTTTCTCGGTGGCACTTGGATCTTGTTGTACGCGCATAAAATCACAAAACATTCTCAGCGTTTTGAGAGTACAAGTAAGAGTTTTGTCTTCTTTTGATTCTTTATCCTCCTGTTCCCTTGGGCATTATCTGTGTCCTCTGGTTTGGACTCTCCATGTGGGAGGTTCTCTTCAAAAGCTAGTGATCTCTGTGCTCAGTCAGCATATTGAAGAGAGAGCCACTAGGAAGCTAAGGGGCCACTCTGGGTGAGAGGCAGCTGATGGGCTGGCACATAATCCTTTAGGGCAGCGATTCTCAAACTCTAAAAAGCACCAGAATCCCCTGCTGGCCTATCAAAACCCCCAGAGTTTCTGATTTAACAGGTCTGGGGTGAGGCCTGAGAGAATATGCATTTCTAGCAAATTTCTAGGGAATGCTGATGTCGATGCTGCTGCTCCGGGGACCGCACTTTGAGAAGCACTGCTATTGGGTGTCTCGCTCCCTTCCCTGAGGGGCCCCCTGCCAAAGCCAGGTAGTTACCTGGCGCAGGCTGTCTTCCTCCCTGGTGGGGGTGGAGGCAGGGAATCTTGTCATCTTTATAGGACTTCTGCTCACTTCCCCCGGGTTTAGCCTCAGCCCTTGCCCCAGGCGTCCCTGCTGCCTCTGTGCTCCAGGTGCAAACTGCAGAGGGAGCTGGTGGGGCCCCATCTCTGAGCACTGGGATGCTCTATCCAGTTCCCCACACCTCCCTTCGCAGACCCGGCTCAGTCAGCAGGACCCTCCAACCCCCCGGGCTTCGGTAATGTGGGAACGCTCCCCCACTATGTTCGCTCTCCCACACTCTTTGTCGGTGAGAGTTTGTATCTTTTTGTCCCTCAGCACAGTGGTTAAGAGCCCAGCTGCTAACTAAAAATTTGGCAGATGGAATCTACCAGCGACTCCTTGGAAGCCCTATGGGGCAGCTCTACTCTGTCCTATAGGGTCGCTATGAGTTGGAATCGACTCAACAGCAATGGGTTTGGTTTGGTTTGGTTTAATTTTATAGAATATGGTGGCTGGGTGATGCAAATGGTTAAGCTCAGCTACTAGCTAAAAGGTTGATGGTTCAAACCCGCCCAGAGGTGCCTCAGAAGACAGGCCGGGTGATCTGCTTTTGAAAGGTTACAGCCTTGAAAACCCCATGGAGCTGTTCTACTTTGCACACATAGGGTCACCATGAGTTGGGATCAACTTGCCGGCAACAACAACAATTTTCCAGAGGACATGCGGTCAATCTCCCGTCTTTTGAGGAAGTCCCAGTGTGATGACTTTCTTTAGGAGAATTCTGCAGCCTTAGAGTGGAAAAGGATTACTGCTTACCGGTCCCTGCGGGAATGGGGGCAGGAGCCGGGGCAGGCCAAGGGCTGAGCTTGTCTGTGGGGTCATGGTGAACGAGCCACAAAGTTCAGGCCGAGGCAGGGATGGTGGCATGTGAAACCAGAAGGGGCTAATACAGAGTTTTATGCAGAGTGCCTTAGCAGAGGCCCTAGGCTCATACCTGCTCGACCTCTGTGACCTTGAGCAGGTCCCTACTCCCTAAGGCTGGGAATTACGTGGGGATAATAATATAACGTCCAAGGTCTGGGGGGGATTAAACAAGACCATACATGTAGGGGCACCAAGCACAATTTCTGGTATAACAAGTGCTTGTGTATATCACTCCGCGTGGATTCGGACCGCGTAGGACGATTGGAAAACATGGAGGGCGTTGAGTTACTCTGAGGTCAAAGGCAATGGGATGTGGCAGGGGAGGAGATGGGACGGGGGAGATTTTTGTTCACTCTCCATTCACCCAGGCAGGGTGCTGGACCCCCCTAGACTCCCCGGGCTGTTAGGGAGACAGAGAAAGAGCCAGAAAAGTCCCAGCTGTGAGAACCGGGGTTCTCACAGAGGGGTGGGCATGGAGGACGGTGCCCTCAGGACGTCCCCTGAGGTGGAGAAGGAGAGCGTTCTTAGAGAGGACTCTGAGGGTGAGGAGTTAGTTGTAGGCAGGGCAGCAGGGGTGGGGGGCTGTGTGTGGCTTGGGCAGGGGAGGGACCGGCTGCCGGGGAGGGGCAGAGGGCATCCCCAGGGTGGTGGTGGCCTTCAAGGCCTCCTGTGTCCATGTCATCTCCCGTTGGGGCAGGACGGGCATGGGCGAGGCTGGGTGGGGCTGACTTGGGTCTTGGGAGCATCCTGGAAGGATGAGATGAGAGGGATGGGTCCCACAGGATTCTCCCGGAGTCGCCACGGTGGCTGATGGTGAGAGGGAAGACGGAAGAGGCCAAACAGCTACTGTGCCGAGCGGCCTCCGTGAATAAGAAGGTCGTTCCTTTAAATCTGCTGGACAAGGTAGGAGCTGCAGGCTTGGAGCGGGGCCAGGGCCGTGTGCTGTGGAAGGGCTTCTTCCCTCCTCGACCTTGCAGGTGGGGCCCCAGCCCCAGGGGTGTCCCCAGCCCACTGCTCGAGGAGAATGAGAACAGCAAAACTGAGCCCTGCCGGGCATTGTGGGGGGGGGACGACAGGCGGGCACTGGGGGGGCAGG